GTGAGTGTTGGGCAGTTTTTTTCCTTCTAGTGAGTGTGGGCAGTTTTCTTCCATCTAGTGAATGTGTTGGCAGTTTTCCTTCTAGTGAGTGTGTTGGCAGCTTTCTTCCTTCTAGTGAGTGTGTTGGCAACTTTCTTTCCTTCTAGTGAGTGTTGGACAGTTTTCTTCCATTTAGTGAGTGTGTTGGCAGCTTTCACCTTCTAGTGAGTGTGTTGGGCAGCTTTCTTCCTTCTAGTGATTGTGTTAGGACCTTTCTTCCTAGTGAGTGTGTTGGCAGTTTTCTTCATTTAGTGAGTGTGTTGGGCAGTTTTCTTCATTTAGTGAGAGGTGTTGGGCAGTTTTCTTCCATCTAGTGAATGTGTTGGGCAGTTTTCTTCCTTCTAGTGAGTGTGTTAAGCTCCATCTAGTGAATGTGTTAAGGTTTTCTTCCTTCTAGTGGTGTTGGCAGCTTTTCCTTCTAGTGATTGTGTTAGCACCTTTCTTCCTTCTAGTGAGTGTGTTGGCAGTTTCTTCCATTTAGTGAATGTGTTGGGCAGTTTTCTTCTAGTGAGTGTGTAATTAGCCCATCTAGTAAGTGTGTTGGGCAGTTTCTCTATTTAGTGAGTGTGTTGCAGCTTTCTTCCTTCTAGTGAGGTGTTAGGCAGTTTCTTCCTTCTAGTGAGTGTGTTGCTAGTTTTCTTCCTTCTAGTGAGTGTGTTCTTCCTTCTAGTGGATTTAGTAGTGTTGGCAGCTCTTCTAGTGAGTGTTGGCAGCCTTCTAGTGAGTAGTGTGTTGGGCAGTTTATCTAGTGAGTGTGTTGGCAGCTTTTTCAGAGTGTTAGGCAGTTTTTCTCTAGTGAGTGTGTTGGGGCGTTTCTCCATCTAGTGATGTGTTGGGTCATTTCTTTCTTCCCTTGTATGTATAGTCAGTGAGTGTTACAGTTTTCTCCCTCTAGTGATGACAGCCTCTAGTGAGTGTGTTGCAGCCCTCTAGTGAGTGTGTTGCTTTCTCCTCTAAGTGAGCGTTTTTATTTTCTTAGTGAGTGTGTTGGGCAGCTCCTCTAGGAGTGTATGTTTCTCTAAGGAGTGTGTCTTCCCTAGTGAGTGTCTTCTAGGGTAGTTTTTCTTCTAGTGAGTCGTTAGGCAGCTCCTTCTAGTGAGGTATAAGGCTCTTTTTAGTGAGTGTGTTGGCAGTTTTCCCTTCTAGTGAGTGTGTTGCAGTCTTTCTAGTGAGTGTGTTGGGCAGTTTTCTTCCTTTAGAATATACAATTTTCCATCTAGTGAGTAGGCATGTTTCTTCCTTCTATAGTGTAATAGTTTTCCTCTAGGAGTGCGTTAGCAATCTTCATCTAGTGAGGTTACATGTCTTCTAGTGAGGTTAGGCAGTTTTCTTCCCTAGTGAGTGTTATGTTTTTCTCTCTAGTGAGAGTTTTGGGCAGTTTTATCTCCTCTAGTGAGTGTGTGTTAGGCAGTTTTCCTCTTCTAGTGAGTTGGGCAGTTTTATCTTCTAGTGAGGCAAGAAGTCTTCCATCTAGTGTGTGTTGGGCAGTTTTATTCCATTCAGTGAGGCAGTTCTTTTCTAGGAGAGAGGTGTTGTATTTTTCCATCTTGTGAGTGTGTTAGGTGCTTTTCTGAGAGGGCAAGTTTCTTCCTTCTAGTGAGTGTGTTGGACAGTTTTCCTTCAGTGAGTGTGTTGACAGTTTTCCTCTAGAGGGTTGGGGTAAGCCTCCTTCTAGTGAGTGTTGGACAGTTTCTTCCTTCTAGTGAGGTGTTGGGCAGTTCCTTCTAGGAGTGTATAGTTTTCCTTCTAGTGAGTGTGTTGGCAGTTTCTTCCTTCTAGTGAGTGTGTTGGGCAGTTTCTCTCCTCTAGTGAGTGTGGGACAGTTTTATTCCATCTAGTGAGTGTGTTAAGGCTTTCTTCCTTCTAGTGAGTGGTTGGGCATTTTCTTCCATCTTGTGAGGTGTGTTGGGCAGTTTTCTCCTTCTGAGAGGTAAGAGAGTGTGTTGATGCTTCTAGTGAGGTGGACAGTTTCTTCCTTCTAGTGGGAGGCAGCTTTCTTCCTTCTAGTGAGTGTGTTGGGCAGTTTTCTCCATCTAGTGAGTGTGTTGGGCTTTTCCTTCTAGTGAGGTATGCATTTTCCATCTTGTGAGTGTGTTGGGCAGTTTTCTCAAGGGTAAGTTTCTTCCTAGTGAGGTTGATAGTTTTTCCTTCTAGTGAGTGTGTTGGACAGTTTCTTCCTTCTAGTGAGTGTGTTAAGTGTTTTCCTTCTAGTGAGTGTGTTGACAGTTTTTCCTTCTGTGAGGTGTTACAGTTTCCTTCTAGTGAGGTCAGTTTTAGTGGGGCAGTTTTCTTCCTTCTAGAGAGTGTTCATCAGTGTTTCAGCTTCTAGTGAGTGTGTTGGGCAGTTTCTTCCCAGAGGTGTTGGCAGTTTTTCAAGTGAAGGCAGCTTTTTTCCTTCTAGTGAGTGTGTTACAGCCTTCTAGTGAGTGTGTTGGACAGTTTTCCTTCTAGTGAGGTGTTGACAGTTTTCCTTCTAGTGAGTAAGCAGTTTTCTTCCTTCTAGTGAGTGTGTTGGGCAGCTCCTTCTAGTGAGTGTGTGTGTTGGATTAGTTTCTCTCTAGTGAGTGTGTTGGGAAGTTTCTTCCTCTAGTGAGGTATAAGGCTTTCCTTCAGTGAGTGTTGGACAGTTTCTCCCTCTCTAGTGAGTGTGTTGGATTCTTCCTTCTAGTGAGTGTTGGGCAGTTTTCCTCTAGTGAGGTGGTTAAGCCTTCCTTAGGAGGTGTTGGGCAGCCCTTCCCTAGTGAGTGTGCGCAGCTTCTCGTGAGGTAAGGTTTTTTTCCTTCTAGTGAGTGTGTTAGGCGCTTTCTTCCTTCCTCAGAGGCAGCTTCCTTCTAGTGAGGAAGGCAGTTTTCCTTCTAGTGAGGCGTTAAATGAAGACTAGGATCAGGAAGGCAACACACTTAGCTGACGCTTTCTCTCCTTCACCTCTCCTCCCCCCTCTTCCTTCCCCTCTCCACCCCCACCCATCTACCTCCTCCTCCCCCTTCCTCCTTCCCTCTCCCTACCCATCTACTCCTCCTCTCCTCTCACCCATCTACCTCCTGTCCCCCTTCCTCCCTCCATCTACCTCCTCCTGTCCCCCTCCTCTTACCCATCTATTTCCTCCTCCTCTCTTCCCCTCTCTCCTCACTCCCTTTTTTCTCTCCTCTCCACCCTCCGTCGTCCTCACCTCAGCTACTCAGGTATCAAGTGTTTATTGATTCTCCTCAGGGAGAGAGAGAGAGAGAGAGACTTACAGACTGTACAGGGAGTTTATATACAGTATATATGTCCTCAGTATTGTATAATGGACCCATTTACGTTAAGTCCGTCCTTATGTTTGAATCAATATTAATTCCCTGTTTTAGTGTTCTTTGTTCACCAGTGTTCTTTTGTTCACCAGTGTTCTTTTGTTCACCAGTGTTCTTTGTTCACCGTGTTCTTTTGTTCACCAGTGCTTTTTATTCACCGTGTTCTTTTGTTCACCAGTGTTCTTTTATTCACCAGTGTTCTTGTTCACCAGTGTTCTTTTGTTCACCAGTGTTTGTTCTTTTTGTTCACCAGTGTTCTTTGTTCACCAGTGTCTTTTGTTCACGTGTTTTTTTGTTCAATTTTTGTTCACCAGTGTTCTTTTGTTCACCAGTGTTTTTTTTGTTCACCAGTGTTCTTTTTATTCACCAGTGTTTTATTCACCAGTGTTCTTTATTCACCAGTGTTCTTTTGTTCACCAGTGTTCTTTTTATTCACCAGTATCTTTTGTTCACCAGTGTTCTTTTTTCACCAGTGTTCTTTTATTCACCAGTGTTCTTTATCACCAGTGTTCTTTATTCACCAGTGTTCTTTGTTCACCAATGTTCTTTGTTCACCAGTGTTCTTTATTCACCTTTTTTTGTTCACCAGTGTTCTTTTGTTCACCAATGTTCTTTTGTTCACCAGTGTTCTTTATTCACCAGTGTCTTTTTATTCACCAGTGTTCTTTTATTCACCAGTGTTCTTTGTTCACCAGTGTTCTTTGTTCACCAGTGTTCTTTTTATTCACCAGTGTTCTTTATTCACCAGTGTTTTTTATTCACCAGTGCCTGTTCACCAGTTCTTTTTTACCACAGTGGTCTCTTTGTTCACCAGTGTTCTTTTGTTCACCAGTGTTCTTTATTCACCAGTGTTCTTTTGTTCACCAGTGTTCTTGTTCACCAGTGTTATTTTATTCACCAGTCTTGTTCAGTGTTTTTTATTCACCAGTGTTCTTTTATTCACCAGTGTTCTTTTACCAGTGTTCTTTGTTCACCAGTGTCTTTTTACCACGTGTTCTTTTGTTCACCAGCTTTGTTCACCAGTGTTCTTTTGTTCACCAGTGTTCTTTTTATTCACCAGTGTTCTTTTGTTCACTAGTGCTTTTGTTCACCAGTGTTACTTTATTCACCAGTGTTCTTTTGTTCAGCTTTGCATTCTTTTTATTCACCAGTGTTCTTTTTATTCAAGTGTTCTTTTATTCACCAGTGTTCTTTTGTTCACCAGTGTTCTTTGTTCACCAGTGTTCTTTTTTTATTCACCAGTGTTCTTTTGTTCACCAGTGTTCTTTTTGTCCAGTGTCTTTTTATTCACCAATGTTCTTTGTTCACCAGTGTTCTTTTGTTCAGTGCTGTTCGTGTTCTTTTTTACACTATGCCTTTTGTTCACCAGTGTTCTTTTGTTCATCAGTGTCTTTATCCACCAGTGTTCTTTATTCACCAGTGTTCTTTATCACCAGTGTTCTTTGTTCACCAGTGTTCTTTATTCACTGTTCATTTTTGTTCACCAGTGTTCTTGTTCAGTGTTCTTTGTTCACCAGTGTTCTTTTATTCACCAGTGTTCTTTGTTCACTTGTTCTTTGTTCATCAGTGTTTTTTATCCACCAGTGTTTTTTATTCACCAGTATTCTTTTATTCACCAGGTCTTTTTATTCACCAGGTCTTTTTGTTCATCAATGTTCATTTGTTCACCAGGTTGTAACTACTACGGGTTCTGTGCAATGTCGCACGTTCTCCATGGTCATCCACGCTTGTGTCAGCCTCATCCGCTACATCAACATCTGTCATCCAGAGAAGGGTGAGTCATCCACGACCTCCCCTGTGTGGTGGTGAATTGAATTTTGCTGTAGACGCGGCTAGTTTATTGTACACCCCCCATACTCATCCTGTGAGCTGTAGTGCAAAATGGAGGTCACAAGGGTGATAATAGAAACCAGTGGTCATATGGCAATGATTGTTAGAGTATTACCAGTGCAGTACATGGTTTGTTTAGTGCTGTACGATGGGGTTGACTTGTTGACAGCAGCGTGAGGACCAGAGTGTGGAACCTTTATTGTATCAGTAATTATAAGGAAAACTCATCGCCGGAACTTGTGATCATCAGGACAAAAGCGCGACTAAGAATACCTCTGATAGCATGGCCTCACCTATCCCCACTCCCTGTTGTCATCTCACCTGTCCCACCCTCCCTCACTCCCTGTTGTCACCTCACCCATCTACCTGTCCCCACTCCCTGTTGTCATCTCACCTGTCCCCACTCCCTGTTGTCATCTTACCTGTCCCCACTCCCTGTTGTCATCTCACCTGTCCCCACCCCTGTTGTCATCTCACCTGTTCAATCCTGTTGTCACCTCTACCTGTCCCCACTCCCCTGTCATCTCACCTGTCCCCACTCCCCTGTTGTCATCTCACCTGTCCCCACTCCTGTTGTCATCTCACCTGTCCCTCCCTGTTATCCCACCTGTCCCCACTCCCTGTTGTCATCTCACTGGTCCCACTCCTGTTGTCATCTCTCACCTGTCCCCACTCCCTGTTGTCATCTCACCTGTCCCCACTCCCTGTTGTCATCTCACCTGTCCCACCCTGCCACCACTGTGCAGGACGCCTCAGGACACTCACAAGATGCTCACCAGCGCGACAACTACCCCGTCTGAGAAATAATTGTGCTGGATCCAGGAACACCTTTGATAACCTTTAGAGCTGTGATGTTTTTCTTGTAAATTGTTTAAGCCCATGACTGTGTGTTCAATTTTATTATTATTATTATTATTATTATTATTATTATTATTATTATTATTATTACGAGAGCTCAGTACAAATGAAAAGGGGAAAACCGCAATACAGTAGAAACATGGACTAAAGTAAACCTAACTCAGCTGTAAGGGAGGTCAAACCCGGTCATAACCTGGGATAAATGTGTAGACTGGAACTCCTAAAGGTCAGAGCCTCAGGGAGTCTTCAACACTACCAAGTAAAGGTTATTAGGTTAGTTAGTCACTCTTAGATAATACCTTACTAGATGTCATAAGGTTGTGTTTACAGTTAGAACTCTACCTTATTGATGGATGGTTGGTTGGGTTGATGGATAGATGGATGAATGAATGAATGAATGATGGATGGATTTTGTTGGTTGTTGATGTTGATGGATGGATGAATGGTTGGGTTGATGGAAAGGTGAATGAATGAATGATGAATGGATGGATGGATGGATGGATGGATGGTTGGGTTGATGGATGGATGGATGTACTTAGGTCCTTCTACTGTTGAATAGATAGGTAGATGGATGGATGGGTGGATGGGTTACATTATAGTCCTCAAAGGGGTTAAATTAATCACTTTTAAGCGGTTAAAACAAAATCATGTAGACGAAATCTCGTTTATATTTTGTGTGGATATTCTACCTCATTAAACCACTCGATACTTTTTTTCATAACTCAGGAATCGCGAACGCAAAGATGTCATATTATATTGTGCTCTCATCAGTAGCTCTCGCCTAAACGGTTTATTGAAGGCTGAAAATACACTGGACATAAAATGACTTATATACATTGGTAGTTTAAAGCCTTCTATAGAAATGTAAAGGAACATACAGTGAACATACAGATTAATGTATTGAACAGCAAACACGTAGTGTAGTAACTCTCCCAGATGGTGTTAGAGGGACCTCACGTGGTGTAGTTCTCTCACAGATGTAGGAGGCACCTGACGTGGTGGCACAGGATGGGACCTGTGTGTAGTTCTCACAGGAGGGACACGTGGTGTAGTAATTTCACATATGGTGTTGTGGCATCACGTGGTGTAGTACCTCATAGATGGTGTGTGAGACCTCGTGGAGTAGTAATTTCACAGATGGTGTTATGAGGTCCTGACATGGTGTATTAATTCCTCACAGATGGTGTTATATGGGGCCTCACGAGGTAGTAACCCTCACAGATGGTGTTATGAGGGCATCATGGTGTAGTAATTTCACCATGGTGATGAGGACCACGTGTAATTCCTCACAGATGGTGTTATTAGGGACCTGACGTGGTGTAGTAATTCCCCGGATGGTGTTATTTGAGTGAGGTGTGGTCCCAGGCCTTCCTATCGTAGGAAACACATCGCTGGTTGTTGTTGGGTCTCACTGGCAGTTATCACTGGGGACCTGTGACTCTCACTGTGTGAAGGCAACTTGAGTACGACTCGGCTGTTACTGTTGAGTTGTTCTCACTGACTTAAGCACTGTTCACCACTGTTCACATCTGTTCAACACTGGTTTCATCTCTTCCTAAATGAGATTGTGACTTCTGGCGAGAACTTGTTGATATTCCGGTGTGTGTGTGTGTGTGTGTGTTTGTGTGTAAATAATAATGATAATAATAATAATCAATAAATAATTATCGGTTTATTGAAAAAGTTTTGCCCAAGGCTGAAATTATTAATTAGACAAAAATGACTTTACATACAAAGACATGGGGTGGGTGGATCGTTTAACAAAATCTTTAATTACTAAAAGGAAAAAGAACGTGAATTAAACATACAAATTATTATAGTTTGCAGTTGATGGACCGGGCTGGTCTCTTGCCATACTGTGTGAGATCACGTAGGCCACGTGGTTCAATAACTCGTCCGTAGATGTTGACATGAAGGACCTCACGTGGTCATGGAGACACTGGGTGGTGTGGTGTTCATGTGATGCAGTAACTCGTCCTCGGGTGTTGATATGAAGGACCTCATGTATCATAGAGACACTGGGTGGTGTGGTATCCATGTGGTGCAGTAACTCGTCCGTAATTGTTGATATGAAGGACCTCACGTGGTCATAGAGACACTGGGTGGTGTGGTGTCCATGTGGTGCAGTAACTCGTCCGTAATTATTGATATGAAGGACCTCATGTGTGTGTGTGTGTGTGTGTGTGTGTGGTGTCCTCGTGATGAACAGGGAAGCAACTTGGCGTAAGTCCTCCCCTGCCGGTACACAGCCTCTTCACCATCAAGACTCTTGCTGGGCCTCCTCGTGGCAATACACGGTAGCTGGATGCCTCGTGGGCCCAGGCTAAACCAGCAGGGGATCTTGGAGCAGTAATAGGCCCAGAGAGACGGCGCATAAGCCCGCCGGCATGTCGACATGCTCTGGTGCCTACCAACCACTGCGGTGGAGCCCCGTATCAGGCAGACATGTTTACAGAGTTCCAGGGAGACTCCAACGGCGGAATAGGCGTAAGAGGTGACCACCATGGGAACCCAACGACTAGACCGGCGGATGAAGGCAGTGCAAGATGAACAGGCTAATAAGGCGAAACCCATCAAACGGCTATCAGCAGTCCATTGCAACTTCTCCCCCCCAGTCGCTGCAGCTACCTGCACCACTGGATCAGGAAAAGGGAGAGCCAAGATGTGGTTTGCAGCCTGCGCTTCTGCCTCACCACATAAATCAATTAGCACAGCCATCATCCAGTACATCATCATCAAAACCCCCATACCCCCAAAAGTCATATGGCGACAGACGAGTGGCGACGGAAACAGGCAGAGATGACTGCCGGGAGTCTCTAGTCACAACTCTGCACATGGGCGGCACAGATAAGATGGTCGTTTATTTACTGGGATCTTGGCAGCAGTGCAATCCGATCTTGTCTGTGCGACTGAGCAGCCCTTTCCAGGAGCCCTTCTGCTCACCCCACGGGAGGGGGCCACAAAAGGTGCCCAATCATAGCCTGCCTAAAAAAAAAAAATGATCAACCACCCAGTAAGGTCACCCTTATGCAGTAGAAAACATAATCATAATCACAGGCCAAAGCAAAAACAAACTATACAACCTTTTATGGTCGCTGCATGGGATGTCAGGACCCTTCTGGATACTGTCACAAATGGCGTCCTGAAAGAAGAACTGCCCTTGTGTAAAAAGAGCTAGGCATAACATCGACATAGTAGCCATTAATGAGTCCCGGCTCCCAGGCGAGGGTCAACTCACAGAACGGGAGTTTGGATATACCGTCTTTTGGAAGGATAAGCCTGCTGCACAGAGAAACTGCATTTATGGATTTTTCTTTGCTATCTGCCAATGCATCCTTTCACAGACTAACTGAAATGCCTGTTGGGATCAACGAGCACCTCATGACGCTCCGATTCCCAGTGAATCACTCACGTCATGCCTTCTTCATCAGTGCATATGCCCCAACACTGGATGCATAGGATGACATCAACGGGCTTTATGCCGACCGCGACAGAGTGCTAATCTCTATCCCCAAAGAAGATAAGGTTGTGCTCCTTGGTGACTTCAATGCCAGAGTTGCCAGAGATGCTGACATTTGGCAGGGAACCATAGGGAGAAATGGAGGCAAGTGTAATCCCAATGGCCTACCCCTCCTCAGCAAGTGTGCTACACACAACCTCACTTTCATCACACTTAATTAGGCAGGCCAACAAGTTCAAGGGTTGTTGGCAACACCCACGATCTAAACATTGGCATCTCATTGACAACATCATTGTCATAGAAAGAGTTCGTCGAGATATCCTCATCACCCGAATCATGCCTGGCTCAGACCACTGTGACACAGATCATCGGCTCATCCAAACTCTCCCTTCACTTCACCCTAAAATGGCAAAGGCAACAAGCCTCCAGAAGAGGTTTTAACACCAAGCGTCTGTAGAATCCAGTTGTCCCACATGCTTTCAGAGAGCACCTCGAGGATGAACTGGTAAACAACCCGACAACAAACAACGCAAACCCGAGTGCTGAATGGGATATCCTCAATACTGTCAGACCAAAAACCTGCAGAGAGATCCTCGGCCAGATCGAAAGAATACACCAGGACTGGTTTGCTGAAGATGACCCGGTAATCAATGTACTCGTCCATGGTAAACGTTCTGCTTTAACGACAGGCAGAACAACCCTCAGTCTCGGACCAAAGTTGATATCTTCCACAGGCGTGCCAATTTTGCACTCTAATGAATGAATGGTAAGAAAATAAAGCATGTGAAATGCAAAAATTTGCAAGATGCATGAATTTTTCAATTCCATTAAAACACTTTATGGCTCAGTTAATCATGGTACAGCCCCCATCTGCTCATCCGACAGTACTCCCTAATTAAAGATAAAGAAGGCATCCGTCAGTGCTAGAATGAGCACTACCATTCACTACTCAACCAAAACACCGCTGTGGATCTCCTGACTACCCAACAGGTCCCTCAGTGCCCAGAGCTGACCCACCTCAGCCATCCTCCATCCCTGGAGGAGGTAGCTACTGCCACCAAACAGATGAAAAATAACAAACCCGCAGAGCCTGGTGGAATCCCAGCCGAGGTATATAAAGCAGATGAACCTCTGCTTTGGTCTCTCTCCTGGAGAATATATGGGAAAAGGAGGAAATCCCCCAAGCTCTTAAGGATAGCATGAGGATCTTGTCTGTAGCTGCAAGTTTATTGCCAGAGTCCTCCTAAACAGACTTCTTCCTGAGGCGTAAAACTTCTTCCTAGAATTTCGATGTGGCTTTAGACCGTCACCACTGACATGATCTTTGCTGCCCGTCAGATTCAGGAAAAGTGCAGAGTATAGCCTCGTGACTTGTACATGGCCTTAATCGACCTTACCCCCAGTCGTTTTGGCTGCCCATCACAACTCTTCGCCATTGTGAATAGGAATGCACTGATTAATCAGTATCGGTATGATGATGGTCGCGGTCAAGTTAGTATCGGCCGATACCGATACTGGTATTGTACATACAGTATTTGCCCTGTAAGTTAGAGTGAAAATAAGAATTGTTTTGACCATGCTAAGCTAAACTCCAAATTTTGCAGCAATACTGTACAGCTCTAACATATAGCATATTCTTAATATCCTGTTTGGACCAATCTGGACTGGTCCAACTTCGTCTTTTGGGCTGGTGGTATTAATTATTAATATTCTTATGGGGTTAATTGACACGCCAGAACAGCCATGGGACCAGTCTGGACCAGTGTGAGATTATAGTGAAAACAATCTCAGTAGTAAGTAACTTTTCCCCTATAAGATCAGATTCGAGTAAAAGATTATACTTAAGACTGGAATAAGTATATAAGGAGTATTGGTATCAGTATCGACCGATAAATCGTCATAATCGATTCCGAGTGACAACAAAGTAGTGTGTGTGTGTGTGTGTGTGTGTGTGTGTGTGTGTGTGTGTCAACAGGTAAAGTTATGAAGCGTCTTGTCTCTGTAGACTGTAACGACGGAGGCTCCTGGACCTTACGTGATCACTTTCTCGTCTTATGGGCTCATTTATATAATTAACTCAACATAATCCAGTTTTGTAAGTATCTCAGGTTATACTACAAAAGAGACAATTATGTGACCTGGAACTAAGTAAATAGTGGCTAGGTTATGCTACTAAAAACACAATTATGTGACATGGAAATAGTATTGGCTGTGTTGGCTATCTTGATGGAATTATTGATTACCATCGTATGTTTACCTGCAGTGACTATGTATTTTCTGAATGAATGTGAAACTTGTATGGTGAATTTACTTAATAATTAAATATATGTATTTCTGGCGTGGGTAGTAATGAGTAAAACAGATGACCTGGTTGATAGCGAGGAAACACGGTGACTGGGTAACCTCCTGTGTGTCTCCTGACGAACTAGACACATCCTTCACCCGGAGACAAAATATTGGAATTCACGACGACAGACATTAGAGGTGAAAAACATAATTGAGTAAAATACGACTTCATTTTCTTGTTTTCTTTTTCAACTAGATATATATGTGTGTGTGTGTGTGTGTGTGTGTGTGTGTGTGTGTGTGTGTGTGTGTGTGTCTACATGTCTCGGCTGTAACGGATAACCATTACATATATAGCCAGTTAATTAAAGCGACTATTTTCCTAGTGTGATTTTTCTCTTTGTATAATTTTTAAAACTGTAAGATTCTGTTACTTTTGTATTTTTCTTATTAAATGTTGAGGTAATGTTTCCGCCGGTACACAGATTTCCAGCTAAAAATACAATATTTAATGTATTTTTTTGTGTGTGTCTACTGTAAGTGCTTCTTGTTACATTACACTTATGTAAATACCACTTTGATATACATTTCACCTTGTGTGCGTGTGTGGAGGGGGTAGGGGGGTCTATATTTTTGTTCACATTGACTACAAAGTTTGTTGACGTGTAAATTATTGTGTAATAGTGTGAATTCATATATAGCAATTATTAGTTTACTATCTGCATACTGTACGTGTTGAACCGATAACAACTTGTATGACTGAATAGATGTCTTTTAGCTCTATGCACATATTCGTCTCTCTATCTACCTGTCTATCTGTCTCTATCTACCTGTCTATCTCTGTCTCTATCTACCTGTCTATCTGTCTCTATACCTACCTGTCTATCTGTCTCTATCTACCTGTCTATCTCTCTCTATCTACCTGTCTATCTGTCTCTATCTACCTGTCTATCTTCTTCTATCTACCTGTCTATTTGTCTCTATATCTACCTGTCTATCTGTCTCTATATCTACCTGTCTATCTGTCTCTATCTACCTGTCTATCTGTCTCTATCTACCTGTCTATCTGTCTCTCTATCTACCTGTCTATCTATCTCTATACCTGTCTATCTGTCTCTATCTACCTGTCTATCTGTCTCTATCTACCTCTATCTGTCTCTATCTACCTGTCTATCTGTCTCTATATCTACCTGTCTATCTGTCCCCATCTCACCTGTCCATCTCTGTCTCATCTCACCTGTCCATCTGTCTCCCCATCTACCCGTCCATCTCTCCCCATCTACCCTGTCTACATTCATCTCTCATCTCCCTGTTCATTCTCTCCCCATCTACCCCTATCTGTCTCATCCACCCGTCCATCTGTCTCTCATCTACCTGTCTATCTGCCTCTATCTACCTGTCTATCTGTCTCCCCATCTACCTGTCTATCTGCCTCATCTACCCGTCTATCTGTCTCTACATCTACCTGTCTATCTGTCTCTACTCCACCTGTTCATCTGTCTTCCATCTACCCATCTATCTGCCTCTCTCATCTACCTGTCTATCTGTCTCTTATCTACCTGTCTATCTGTCCCCATCTACCCTTCATCTGTCCCCATCTACCTTCCATCTGCCCTCCATCTACCCGTCCATCTGTCTCCCCATCTACCCGTTCATCTGTCTCATATCCACCTGTCCATCTGTCTCACATCTACCCGGTCATCTGTCTCCATCTCACCTGTCCATCTGTCTCTTCCATCTACCCATCCATCTGCCCCCCATCTACCCGTCCATCTGTCCCCATCCACCCGTCTATCTGTCTCATCTACCCGTCCATCTGTCTCATCTTCACCTTCTATCTGCCTCTATCTACCTGTTCATCTGTCCCCATCTCACCTGTCTATCTGCCCCATCTACCTGTCTCATCTGTCTCCATCCACCTGTCCATCCGTCTCTCATCCACCCCCATCCGCCCCCATCTACCCGTCTATCTGTCCCCCATCTACCCGTCCATCTGCCCCCATCTACCCGTTCATCTGTCCCATCTACCCCCATCTGTCCCCTACATCCACCTGTCTATCCGTCCCCATCTCATCGTTCATCCCCCCCATCTACCCCCATCTGTCCCCCATCTCACCCTGTTCATCCGGCCCCTATCTACCTCGTCTATCCGTCCCCATCTACCCTTCCTATCTGTCCCTCTATCTACCCGTTCATCTCGTCCCCATCTACCCGTTCATCTGCCCCATCTACCCGTCTATCTGCCTCCCCATCCACCCGTCATCTGCTGTCTCATCTACCCATCCATCTGCCCCCATCCACCCTTCATCTGTCCCTATCTACCTGTCTATCTGTCCCCCATCTACCCTGTCTGTCCCCATCTACCCTCTCATCTGCCCCCATCTACCTGTCTATCTGTCCCCATCTACCCTGTCCATCCGCCCCCATCTACCCGTTCATCTGTCCCCATCCACCTGTCCATCTGTCCCCATCTACCTTTCCATCCGCCCCCATCCACCCGTCCATCTGTCCCCATCTACCCGTTCATCTGCTCCCCATCCACCTGGTTCATCTGTCTCTACTCTACCTGTCTATCTGTCCCACATCTACCTGTTCATCTGTCTCATCTACCCGTCTATCTGTCTCCCCATTCACCTTCTATCTGTCTCTATTCACCCTGTCTATCTGTCTCCATCTACCGTTCATCTGTCTCTCATCTACCCGTTCATCTGTCTCCATTCACCTTCTATCTGTCTCTCATTCATACGTTCTATCTGTCTCTCATCTACCTGTCTATCTGTCTCTATCTACCTGTCTATCTGTCTCTCATCTCACCTGTCTATCTGTCTCTATCTACCCTGTCTATCTGCCTTCATCTACCCTTCATCTGTCTCCTATCTACCTGTCTATCTGTCCTATATCTACCTGTCTATCTGTCTCTCATCTACCTGTCTATCTGTCTCTCTCATCTACCCGTCTCATCTGTCCCCCATCTACCTTCTATCTGTCTCCCATTCACCCGTTCATCTGTCCTCCATCTACCCTTTCATCTGTCCCCCATCTACCCGTTCATCTGTCTCCCCATCCACCCGTCTATCTGTCTCCCTATCTACCCGTCCATCTGTCCCCTCATCTCACCTGTCTATCTGTCTCTCATCTCATTCCGGTTCATCTGTCTCATCTACCCTTCATCTGTCTCTCCCCATCTACCCGTCTATCCTGTCTCTCATCTACATGTCTATCTGTCTCTATCTACCTGTTTATCTGTCTCTCATCTACCTGTTCATCTGTCTCTCTCATCTACCTGTCTATCTGTCCCCATCTACCTGTCTATCCTGTCTCCATCTACCTGTCTATCTGTCTCCCTATCCACCTGTCTATCTGTCCCCATCTACCTTCATCGCCTCCATCTACCTGTCTATCTGTCTCTCCATCTACCTGTTCATCTGTCTCTATCCACCTGTCCATCTGTCCCCATCCACCTGTCCATCCGTCTCCCCCATCTCACCCTTTCATCTGTCTCCATCTACCTGTCCATCTGTCTCCCCATCTGCCCGTCTATCTGTCTCTCATCTACCCGTTCATCTGCCCCCATCTACCCGTTCATCTGTCTCCCATTCACCGTTCATCTGTCTCTCTCATCTACCTGTCTATCTGTCTCTCTATCTACCTGTCTATCTGTCTCATTTACCCTTCATCTGTCCCCATCTAATCTGTTTATCAGCCCCCATCTACCCGTCTATCTGTCTGCATCTACCCTGTCCATCCGGTCTCCCCATCCACCCTGCCCATCCGTCCCCATCTCACCCCCATCTGCCCCCATCTACCCGTCTATCCGTCCCATTTCACCCTGTCCATCTGTCCCCCATTCACCCGTCCATCTGTCCCCACATCCACCCTGTCCATCTGCCCCCATCCACCCGTCCATCTGTCCCCATCTCACCTTCCCATCCGCCCCATCCACCATCCTGTCTCTATTCCACCTGTCCATCTGTCCCCATCTCACCCCCATCTGTCCCCTCATCTCACCCTTACATCCGTCCCCATCTACCTTCTATTTGTCCTATCCACCTGTTCATCTGCCCCCATCTACCGTGTTCAGTCCATCCATCTGTCCACCTCCATCTGCTCATCTTCCCCATCTCACCTGTCACCTGTCCACAGTGCCCTCCCAGTGAACTCTGACCACTCCACCTACCAGTGACTCCTTGATAGTTACTGTCGATACTTCTCTCTTGTGTGTATCCACACGTGAGTAAATTTCTGCCAGTTTCAGCTCTTGAGAGTTTTCCGACAGAAAAACTCTGTGATAGTCCACCCGAACTAGAGCTACACGCTATAGTGACTCTCAGTCAGTCGGTAGCAATGGCTAGAACACAGACAGGAAGTTTGCTGCGGCAGTTATAGTCGCGCTGATGATTGAAAAGAAAATAAAGTGTTGGGTAAAGCAGTTGGTGGAACGACGAGTTGAATTGGTTGCTAATAAGTCTTGTGAAGAACTGCTACTTCCACTCTTCCTCTTTTCCAGCTTATTAAGTTCTTGCGAGACCTTAAAAAATATTTTATATGATAGGCCTACAGTATATTTAAAGTGTGGTAAGTTATCGGTGCATTGGTACTTTTAAAAAACAACATTTCATTGTTGTCGTGATTAGTATTCAAAAAATCTTTGGCTTTATTTAGTATTTCTGTTGTTGTTTCAGTCATTACCAATTATATTTTTATTAAACAAATGCCATACCTGATTTCTTAAATTTTCTGATCCTGCAACTTTTTCCTCTGGAGTCCCACTTTGAACTCCATGTCCACTTGTCGACAGCACTTACTCTGAGGTGACACGTGCCTTTACTGCCCCCTCTTTTGGTGCCGGGGAGGAGGGTAATGAGGAACGTCCCTCCTTCTGTGAGCAAGCCGGCCTTCTATACAAGCTTTTATCTATTTATTTTTTTTTTTTATTTTTTTATTTTTTTAATTATATTTTTTTTTTTACTTTTCTTTTTTTTTTTTCTTTTTTATTTTTTTTTTATTATCTATTTTTTTATTATTTATTTTTATTTATATTTCTTCAACTTTATCACAATCAATCAAACTCTTTCAACTTTGATCTCCTGCTGAAGTATGTATACAGTCCCATCTCAGGCTGTGCTGTGTACCTGGTGTGGGCCTATAAATCTCTCTCCAGGACCTCAATAACTCGAGTAATAACTTGAGTGACCCTCCAGTCACCTTCCAGGTCACCTCCAGGTTCTCAGTAACTTTCAGTCACCTTTCAGTAATCTTGAGTCACCCTCCAGATTCTCAACTCACCTCCAGGTTCCTCAGTACAGCTTGAGTCACCCTCCAGGTCCGCTCTTCAACTGGGGATGAGACCTTTGAGTTCGGGTGTACTCTTGCCTTCTCCGACCCGACCCGCAGCGGCCGCTCTTTCGTCACCTGTGCCTTCGTCTTCGTCCTCCTCCTACCCTTGGGTGAGTCTTCCTCCCTCTGCTCTTGCCCCTGGGTGAGTCTTCTTCCTCCCCCCTGGAGTCTCTTCTGCCCCTGGGTGAGTCTTCTTCCTCCTGCCCCCAGGGAATCTCCTGCCCCTGGGTGAGTCCTCTTCCTCCTGCCCCAGGGAGGCCTTCCTCCTGCCCCCTGGGTGAGTCCTCTTCCTCCTGCCCCTGGGTGAGTCCTTCTCCTGTCCCTGGGTGAGTCCTTCCTCCTGCTCCCCTGGGCGAATCTTTCCTCCTGCCCCTGGGTGAGTCCTCTTCCTCCTGCCCCTGGTGAGTCCTCTCCTCCTGCCCCTGGTAGTCCCCCTCCTGCCCTAGGGTGGACTTTCTTCCTCCCAAGTTCCCCATGAGTCTTCTTCCCTCCTGCCCCTGGGTGAGTCCCTTCCTCCTGCCCCCAGGTGAGTCTTCTTCCTCCCGTCCTCCCAAGGACTTCTTCTTCCTCCTGCCCTGGGTGAGTCCTCTTCCTCTGCCCCTGGTGAGTCCCTCTTCCCTCCTGCCCCTGGTGAGTCCTCCCTCCTGCCCCCATGAGTCTTCCTCCTCTGCCCCTGGTGATTCTTCTTCCTGCCCCTGGGTGAGTCTCCTCCTCCTGCCCCCTGGGTGAGTCTCTTCCTCCTGCCCCTGAGTGAGTCTTCTTCCTCCTGCCCCTGGGTGAGTCCTCCTCCTGCCCTGGGTGAGTCCTTCTCCTGCCCCTGGGTGAGTCCCTCCTTCTGCCCCTAGGTGAGTCCTCTTCTTCCTGTCTCCCCTAGGGAGTCCTTCTTCTTCCTGCCCCTAGGTGAGTCTTCTTCCCTCCTGCCCCCAGGGTGAGTCCCTCCTCCTGCCCCTGGTGAGTCCCTCTTCTTCCCTGCCCCTAGGTGAGTCCCTCTTCCCCTGCCCCTGGTGAGTCCTTCTTCCTGCCCCAGGTGAGTCCTTCCTCCTGCCCCTAGGTGATCCTCTTCCCCGCCCCAGGTGAGTCCCCTCTTCCTGCCCCTGGGTGAGTCTTCTTTCCTGCCCCTAGGTGAGTCCTTTCTTCCTGCCCCTAGGTGAGTCCTTCCTGCCCCCAGGTGAGTCCTTCTTCCCTCTCCCTAGGTGAGTCCTCTTCTCCCCTCTGTCCCTGGTGAGTCTTCTTTCTTCCTGCCCCCAGGTGAGTCCCTCTTCTTCCTGCCCCCAGGTGAGTCCCTCTTCCTGGGTCCGGAGTCCCTTCCTCCTGCCCCCAGGTGAGTCCCTTCTTCCTGCCCCTAGGGTGAGTCCTCTTCTGCCCCCTGGGTGAGTCTTCCTTCTGCCCCTAGGTGAGTCCCTTCTTCCTGCCCCTGGGTGAGTCCTTCTCCTGCCCCTAGGTGAGTCCCTTCTTCCTGCCCCCTGGTGAGTCCTCTTCTTTCCTGCCCCTAGGTGAGTCCTTTCTTCCCTGCCCCCTGGAGTCTCTTCTTCCTTCTGCCTCCCTGGGTGAGTCTTCTTCCTTCTGTCCCTAGGTGAGTCCTCTTCTTCCTGCCCTAGGTGAGTCCTCTTCTTCCTGCCCCCAGGTGAGTCCCTCTCTCTCTCCCTGCCCCTGGGTGAGTCCTCTTCCTCCTGCCCCTAGGTGAGTCCTCTTCTTCCCCTGCCCTGGGTGAGTCTCCTCCCGCCCCTGGGTGAGTCCTCTTCCTTCTGCCCCTGGTGAGTCCTCTTCTTCCTGCCCTAGGTGAGTCCTCTTCTTCCTGCCCCTAGGTGAGTCCTCTTCTTCCTGCCCTAGGTGAGTCTCCTTCTTCCTGCCCTAGGTGAGTCTCCTCTTCTTCCTGCCCCTAGGTGAGGTCTCTTCTTCCTGCCCCTAGGTGAGTCCTCTTCTTCCTGCCCTGGGTGAGTCTTCTTCCTCCTGCCCTAGGTGAGTCCTCTTCTTCTTCCTGCCCCTAGGTGAGTCTTCTTCTTCCTGCCCTGGGTGATTCTTCTTCTTCCTGCCCCTAGGTGAGTCTCTTCTTCCTGCCCTAGGTGGTCCTCTTCTTCCTGCCCCTAGGTGAGTCCTCTTCTTCCTGCTCCTGGGTGAGTCTTCCTCCTTCTGCCCCTGGGTGATTCTTCTTCTTCGCCCTGGGTGATTCTTCTTCTTCCTCTGCCCCTGGGTGATTCTTCTTCTTCCTGCCCCTAGGTGAGGTCCTCTTCTTCCTGCCCCTAGGTGAGTCCTCTTCTTCCTGCCCCTGGGTGGTCTTCTTCTTCCTGCCCCTAGGTGAGTCTCTTCTTCCTGCCCCTAGGTGAGTCCTCTTCTTCCGCCCCTGGGTGAGTCTTCTTCTTCCTGCCCCTAGGTGAGTCCTCTTCTTCCTGCCCTAGGTGAGTCCTCTTCTTCTGCCCTGGGTGATTCTTCTTCTTCTGCCCCTGGTGAGTCCTCTTCTTCCTGCCCCTAGGTGGTCCTCTTCTTCCTGCCCTAGGTGAGTCCTCTTCTTCCTGCCCCTGGGTGAGTCTTCTTCCTCCCTGCCCCTGGGTGAGTCCTCTTCTTCCTGCCCCTGGGTGAGTCTTCTTCTTCCTGCCCCTGGGTGATTCTTCGTCTTCCTGCCCCTAGGTGAGTCCTCTTCTTCCCTGCCCCTAGGTGAGTCCTCTTCTTCCTGCCCCTAGGTGAGTCCTCTTCTTCCTGCCCCTAGGTGAGGTCTCTTCCTGCTCCTGGGTGAGTCTTCCTCCTTCTGCCCCTGGGTGATTCTTCTTCTTCCTGCCCCTGGGTGATTCTTCTTCTTCCTGCCCCTGGGTGATTCTTCTTCCTGCCCTAGGTGAGTCCTCTTCTTCCTGCCCCTGGGTGAGTCTTCCTCCTTCTGCCCCTGGGTGATTCTTCTTCTTCCTGCCCCTAGGTGAGTCTCTTCCCTGCCCCAGGTGAGTCCTCTTCTTCTGCCCCTAGGTGAGTCCTCTTCTTCCTGCCCCTGGGTGGTCTTCCTCCTTCTGTCCCTGGGTGAGTCTTCTTCCTCCTGCCCTGGGTGAGTCCTCTTCCTCCTGCCCCTGGGTGAGTCTTCCTCCTTCTGCCCTAGGTGAGTCTTCTTCTTCTGCCCCTAGGTGAGTCCTCTTCTTCCTGCCCCTGGGTGATCTTCCTTCCTGCCCTGGGTGATTCTTCTTCCTGTCCCTGGGTGAGTCCTCTTCCTCCTGCTAGGTGAGTCCTCTTCTTCCTGCCCCTAGGTGGTCCTCTTCTTCCTGCCCCTGGGTGAGTCTTCCTCCTTCTGTCCCTGGGTGAGTCTTCTTCCTCCTGCCCCTGGGTGAGTCCTCTTCTTTCTGCCCCTGGGTGAGTCTTCCTCCTTCTGTCCCTGGGTGAGTCTTCTTCCTCCTGCCCTGGGTGGTCTTCCTCCTTCTGTCCTGGGTGAGTCTTCTTCCTCCTGCCCCTAGGTGAGTCCTCTTCCTCCTGCCTGGGTGAGTCTTCCCTCCTTCTGCCCAGTCCTCTTCCTCCTGCCCCTGGGTGAGTCCTCTTCCTCCTGCCCCTGGGTGAGTCTTCCTCCTTCTGCCCCTAGGTGGTCCTCTTCTTCCTGCCCCTGGGTGAGTCTTCCTCCTTCTGCCCCTGGGTGAGTCCTCTTCTTCCTGCCCCTGGGTGAGTCTTCCTCCTTCTGTCCTGGGTGAGTCTTCTTCCTCCTGCCCTGGGTGAGTCCTCTTCTCTGCCCCTGGGTGAGTCTTCCTCCTTCTGCCCCTGTGGGTGCTTCTTCCTCCTGCCCCTGGGTGAGTCCTCTTCCTCCTGCCCCTGGGTGAGTCTTCCTCCTTCTGCCCCTAGGTGAGTCCTCTTCCTCCTGCCCCTAGGTGAGTCTCCGTTAATCTTCTTGGGTGTCAGTGTGTGTGGTTTCTGATGGGTGTTGAAGAGCGTCCAGCGAATGGTTAAACCATCATTCTTAAAGGGTTAAACGTTTAAGGATGATGGTTTAACCCCTGAAAGCAATTGATTAAATCATCGTCCATAGGTTAAACCATCTTTAGAGGGCTACGTCATCGTCCTCAAAGGGTTAAAAGTTTATCCCTTTGAGAACGACGACTTAACTCTTTGAGGATGATGATTTAACTCTTTGAGAACGTTGGTGTAACCACCAAACCATCGCCCTCAAAGGATTGTAACAACCTTGTGTTTTCCAATACCTGGGCAGGTGTGATGGTGACCTGCTATTCCCTCATCATCATCCAGGCCCACAAGTATCGTCGAGAGATGAGCCGCATCGCTGACAACGGGACCACCACCACCCTGATGGAGAGGGAGGGCGGGTCACTCTTAGGACAAGTTGGCTCTCTCCGTAAGACACAGCGTTCACTTAGGCTGCAGAACAAACTAGTCAGAGTAAGTTGTGTCAGAGAGAGAGAGACACACACACACACACACACACCTCCACTAAAGCTCGTTTCATACTACTCTGTTTTTGCCCATCTCTGACGTAGTATAGCCATCGATGACGTCACGGAAATGGGGGGGCCCGTTCACACAAGGGAGTTCAAATGTAAATGGACGATGACAACCGTTGCTAGGCCTTCTTCCTCGCAGATACACACGGGTGCTCTTGTCTTGTCTCTAACAAAGATAAAAGATCAATACTCCTTATCTGAAGGGCAGGACCTGAACCCTTAGTCACGGAGACCCTTTTGTGGTTACACTCTCCGGCCTCATTAGTCTTAATCAACACTCGGGCTGCCTCCGGGTGTCTTTAGGGGTTCTGTTTTGTGGTTGCGCCTCAAGAGGTTCAAGCTAAAAATAAAGTTAACGATTTTCTTGAGAATTTCTTTTATCGTATTAAACTTGACCGTGAGTGACCTGTTATTTTGACCGTTTGGAGTCTTTGTCTCTATCCTTTCATATATCTTCCCGCTACGGTACAGAGTATCTGGAGTCAAGGGCAAATATGGAGTATCTCCCTCCCTCTACCTTCTTTCCCTGTCATTCATTCATCCTCACTACTGTAACAGGTAATTCTTATAATCCTCCCCTTCCATAACAAGGCCCCAAATATCTAACTGTTTTTATCTCTCTTAACACAGCGTAGGTTAAGCACAACTTGATGAATCACTCCAGTATGTATTGGTTACTCACGTGTGTTGTGTTGTGTAGATGTCGATGGTGGTGGCAGGTGGGTATGTCCTGGGCTGGCTTCCCTACGCTGTGGTCTGCATGTGGGCCACTTACGGCGACTACAGCGCCATACCCATAGGTTCCCCTCAACATGGTGTTAATAATGGTAGTAGTAGTAGTAGTAGTAGTAGTAGTTGTTGTAATTACAGTAGATGTAGTAGTAGTAGTAAGAATAACAATGTTTAATAATAATAATAATAATAATAATAATAATAATAATAATAATAATAATAATAATAATAATAATATAATACAAATATTATAATAAGTAAATTAGTATCATACTTATGCTGTAAGTATACAAAAATTCATTTGTATTGTATCATCGTTTATTCATAAGAGACTACAGCCACTGTATTCTTTAACTCAGAGATTTATTTTATTTTATACCAGCATTTTCATTACACACCTAAAGCTTCGCATCCTTTCCCTGCCAACTCCACTCTGTCAACCTCACCGCCAACCCCACTCTGTCAATCTCACCCTGCCAACACATCTTATCTCCAGCGACACAAACAACAGAGTGATGCATTATATTGTCATCTTAGTGCTTTAAAATAGGACCCAATTCTTCGTAAACACCTCATCCAGGGCAGGAGTAGCGACTAACACGGTATTATTGGCGGGAAGAATGTGACGTACAGGCCATTATAGTTTATATTTAGATTCAGTTTAAGAGTCTGGGAGTCATAACCTAATCTCCTACGTGGCCAACCGACTTACCTTTACCCAAACATCCATAAGAGGTCCCAGAATTATTTTTTTAGTTTCTATGTAAACATATATATGATATGTATTTCCTTTATTTCGGTATTTAAGCAAACAAACAATTTTTTTTTCTTGCGGTGTATGGACAAGTAAATCAAAATTTTTATTTTTATTTTTATTTATTTTTGGTGGGGAGGGGGTTCGTTGGTTTGATAGTACAAGTAAACATACATTGTGTTTCGCGTTTTATTTCAGGTCGAGTTAAGAAAATTATCTCCCACGCGGCTCTTTAGCTTATAAAACAAATCCATATATTAACCTTTTCTGGGATCAGGAGAAAGAAAATGAAGCCCTCGGTGTGTAAGGTTGACCTACACAGCAAACTTGAGGATCTATATAGCATGGTGATGGGGTCCCTGAGCCCCCCCCACATCACGCTGCCTCAATTGGAACAACACTCATCTGATCAAGTTCAAGGTCCTTGTTGAGGTTATTCTTGGGTCGAGAGCGAGGTGATTAGTTTTAGTTTAACAAATTTATTGACAAATCCTGGAGTACAGTTTGCCTATTCCGAGTAATTCAGTCAGGTCTTGACACTTCTCAATGCCACACAGGTCAGAGGTTCATACACAAAGAAATACATCGTATTCATTGACAGCATACACACACATATATATACTTATATATATATGTAATATCCAGAAATTTCAAGTAATTTCAAATGCCCCGCCATGAGTGATACTGAGCGTTCAAAGGTCATCTGAGGGGAGGGCGCTGCCTGCTCGTAGCGAGACTGCAGAACTAGGCCTATGATATTCAATCCTTAAATTTGCAGATTAATAATGATGCGATTCATGAAGTTAAGGGACTATTATTGAATTTGAAATTATTATAGATCGTTTAGCAGTCTGAATAATGTTGCAGGTGTCCCAAGGTTATTGATTAGGCGGTAAATATGTCACGTAGGACCAAGCTAACGCCTTGAGGAGACGCGACGCTGGCTGAGCCCAGTCGGAGAGCATTCACACAGACAAGACGTTCCCGCGCGTCCATCGAAATAGTCACGTGGCCTGATCACCTGTGCTGCGCTATTGCAGTATAACAAGTAAGTCTCATTCGATCTCAGACAGGGTTAGATAGGGCAGTGATAAGTAAACTAGAGCTAACAGTGAGTTCATTTCAGGGTTTCCGTCAAGAACCCACTTGACTGGAGTTGATTGGAGTTGACTGGAGTTGATTGGAGTTGACTGGAGTTGATTGGAGTTGACCGGAGTTGACTGGAGTTGACCGGAGTTGACTGCAGAGATCAGAGCACCGTTGATGATTGAGGGGTGGCGATTGTCGCCGTGGACCACCGATCTAGTCCAAGCCAAGGCCTGTCACTGTTTAGCGGGGTAACCATCTTGAGTGAACAGGTGCTCCCGACAACTAACACGACACGGGACCAGCATCAGCAGTGGGTGATCAGTTCTTACCACTCCGGTGCACAACCCCATCCCGAGCAGCTAGTGAGAGCCCTCTTGCTTAACGAGGCTAAAGTTTCTCTCAACTGCACAAAGGTCTGATTGGCTCACTCTCTTCCTGCCCATGGACACTGGGGGTACACTGAGGCTATCTGAGGCCTGTGTGGTCACACACACTGAGACCCAGAGGTCTAGGACTCTAGGAGATACCAAGAAGACATTTTATCTTCCCTTATCACAGGTGTAGTTAACACCATTCCTCAGACTGATATTATCTTGGCGTGTGTAGTTTAATATTTCTTAAATAATTTTGATAGTAGTGTTTTTTTGAATGTTTGTGTGCCATTAAGTGGAACCAGATGATACTGTGATTTGATTCTTTTAATGCCTCTAATTCTTCATAATTCTGATCTCAGGTATAACCTTGTTCCCCAGAGCAGTGAATTAAGGAGTTAGGTTAGGAGTGTACACCTGTTGGGGTGCTTATAATTTTGTTGACTGATATTATTTTGTTGAAAACCCTTAAGGCCTATTCATTGTGGAGTATTTAATTTCTTATTTTTTAGTACCATTTCCTAAGTGACTGATATTATTTTGTGAAAGCCCTTAAGGCCTGTTCATGTGTGCAATTAACATTTCTTAATACTTCAAATTTATTGTTGCCTGTGTTTCTAATAATGTCTATGTCATGTATAACTTTTATTCCCCAGAGTAGTGTTTAAAGTTTAAGTTAAGAGGTGCGCATATTGGTGTACCATTATTTGATTGTGTTTGTAGTGTTGGAGGGAATATAAGTGTCTAAATTTTACAGTGTGTCTCATTCATCCCAGTCACAGACGCTATCCTTCCACGGGTCACGGACAGTTCATTTTGTGTAGTAGATTTAAGTGTTCTTGTGCTGGTTCGGGATTTTTCTCAAAGGGGCGCTTCCACTGCCTTTGCCATCTATTAAATTTTAATAAACCCCAAGTCAAGTGAGAAATTAAAGTCCAATAGATTCCGACCGGTTACAAATGGTAGCAGAGCGTAGTTTTTAATGTCGTGACTGATAGTACTGTGGTTGGGATAATGAACGCCATCATGTGTTGGTTAGCAATGGTAGGGATTGAACTCGCACTGATGCTCATCCTTGTGCCCGGACTGAGTTGGTTAGGCTTGACAATAGAGATGTGTATGGGGAGGAAGAGAGACGGCCGCGGGACCTTGGTACAGCTGAGAGAGGAGTTCGGAGACCTAAAGAGGGATTATCAAGCACAGGTAAACAGGTTCAAGTGGGAGTCTCAGGCACACATTCAACGGTTCAGGGAGGAAACAAGGGGTGAATGTCAGGCACACGTCCAGCAGTCAAGGAAGTGTGAGGTCCAAGTGGGAAATATAGGGGTACGTAAGTAGTTCAGAGAGGTTGATCGAGCCCTCCAGCTGAGAGACAAGACGAAGCCGACCGATTACAGTTTAGGGTGCATGGTAATGAGAAAAGGCAGGTTGTAGGGGGTGAGTTGGAGGAGTTGTGAGTAGGGCAGAGGGGATTGGAGAGATGGTTAGGTCAGAGATGTGCGTTGAGTAGTGGTTGCTGTCATGAGCGGGATTGAGTTGCTGTCATGAGCGGGATTGAGTTGCTGTCATGAGCGGGATTGAGAGTACGGTTGTAATGTCCAGGGCCTCACTAAGATGGACTGGTACATTGTCAGAGGGTTGGTCTGCCGGCATGAGGTTCGGAGACGTGGACTGAGTATTGTTTTGACACTGGTTCCTCTTAGCTCAAGGGCCAGGCAAAAGGAGAGCATGCTTGTTTTGGACTGTGTATTTTTTTTGACACTGGTTCCTCTTAGTTCAAGGGCCAGGCCAAAGGAGAGCATGTTTGTTTTGGGCTGGTATTAATTTTGACATTGGTTCTCTAGTTAAGGGCCAGGCAAAAGGGGAGCGTGATGTTCTGGTTGGTATTGAGTTGGGCTAGGAAGAGATGGAGTTGCTAGCTGCGAGTGGAATAGTACAGAGTTGAAGGTGGGTTTTAAGTTGTTCTCTCAGCACATGAGGGCAGTGCTGTCTTTTTTAGGGGGGTCGAGTGTTAGCGGGAGAGAAAAGGAGAGAAGAGAAGACGGGAATGCTGCATTTAGCAAAAGGGGTGAGGTGCAGTCCTTAGAACAAAATTTTAGGGGGGTCGTATGCATGTTTTCTCAGCACATGAGGACAGTGCTGTCTTTTTTTAGGGGGGTCGATTGTAATATTCAGAAATTTCAGAGTAATTTCAAATGCCCCGCCATGAGTGATACTGAGCGTTCAAGGTCATCTGAGGGGAGGGAGCGCTGCCTGCTCGTAGCGAGAGACTGCGGAACTAGGCCTATATGATATTAAATGTAATTTACCGAATTAATAATGATGCGATTCATGAAGTTAAGGGACTATTATTGAATTTGAAATTATTATAGATCGTTTAGCAGTCTGAATAATGTTACGGGTGTCCCAAGGAGTTATTAGTTAGGCGGTAAATATATCACGTAGGACCAAGCTAACGCCTTGAGGAGACGCGACGCTGGCTAGGCCCAGTCCCGGAGAGCACTCACACAGACAAGACGTTCCGCGCGTCCATCAGAAATAGTCACGTGGCCTAGTCACCTGTGCTGCGCTATTGCAGTATAACAAGTAAGTCTCATTCGATCTCAGGCAGGGTTAGATAGGGCAGTGATAAAGTAAACTAGAGCTAACAGTGAGTTCATTTCAGGGTTTCCGTCAGAACCCACTTGACTGGAGTTGACCGGAGTTGACTGGAGTTGATTGGAGTTGACTGGAGTTGATTGAGTTGACGGAGTTGACTGGAGTTGACCGGAGTTGACTGCAAGAGATTGACTGCCGTTGATGATTGAGGGTGGCGATTGTCGCCATTGGACCGATCAGTGTAGGCCTGTCACTGTTTAGCGGGGTAGCAAAGGATCTCTTGAGTGAACGAGTGCTCCCGACAACTAAAACGACACGGGACCAGCATCAGCAGTGGGTGATCAGTTCTTACCCCTCCGGTGCACAACCCCACATGTCCCGAGCAGCTAGTGAAACCCTCTTGCTAACGGGAAGCTAAAGTTTCTCTCAACTGCGCAAGGTCTGATTGGCTCACTCTCTTCCTGCCCATGGACGCACTGGGAGTACACTGAGGCTATCTGAGTATATTAATGGTCACACACTGAGACCGTGAGTCTAGGACTCTAGGAGATACCTAGAGGAACATTTTATCTTCCTTATCACGGGTGTAGTTAACACCATTCCTCAGACTGATATTATCTTGACGTGTGTAGTTTAATATTTCTTAAATAATTTTGATAGTAGTGTTGTTTTGAATGTTTGTGCCATTAAGTGGAACCAGAGTGATACTGTGATTTGATTCTTTTAATGCCTCTAATTCTTCATAATTCTGATCTCAGGTATAACCTTGTTCCCCAGAGCAGTGGTTAGGTTAGGTTAGGAAGTGTACACCTGTTGGGGTGCTATAATTTTGTTGAGTGATATTATTTTGTTGAAGACCCTTAAGGCCTATTCATTGTGGAGTATTTAATTTCTTATTTTTTAGTACCATTTCCTAAGTGACTGATATTATTTTGTGAAAGCCCTTAAGGCCTGTTCATATGTGCAATTAACATTTCTTAATACTTTAAATTTATTGTTGCCTGTGTTTCTAATAATTTCTATGTCATGTATAACTTTTATTCCCCAGAGTATTGGTTAAAGTTTAAGTTAAGAGGTGCGCATATTGGTGTACCATTATTTGATTGTGTTTGTAGTGTTGGAGGGAATATAAGTGTCTAAATTTTACAGTGTGTCTCATTCATCCCAGTCACAGACGCTATCCTTCCACGGGTCACGGACAGTTCATTTTGTGTAGTAGATTTAAGTGTTCTTGTGCTGGTTCGGGATTTTTCTCAAAGGGGCGCTTCCACTGCCTTTACCATCTATTAAATTTTAATAAACCCCAAGTCAAGTGAGAAATTAAAGTCCAGCAAATTCCGACCGGTTACATATATATATATATATATATATATATATATATATATATATATATATATATATATATCTTGATAAAAATCCTGCGGAAAATGGGAAACAACGGAGCACTATGGCTCGTGTGATTTTATCAAGATTTATCTTATCCACGTTTCGTGGTGATTTACATGAAATATATATATATATATATATATATATATATATATAATATATATATATATATATATATATATATATATATATATATATATATATATATATATATATATATACACACACACTTACCCGTGTGATTTTATCAAGATTTATCTTATCCACGTTTTCATTGTGGATCTACATGAAATATATATATATATATATATATATATATATATATATATATATATATATATATATATATATATATATATATATATATATATATATATTATATATATCAGTTGCTTCAAGATGTCTTGAATAAGACGAAAGCTAAGGTGCTCCGTTGTTTCCATTTTCCCGTGTGATTTTATAATATATATATATATATATATATATATATATATATATATATATATATATATATATATATATATATATATATATATATATATATATATATATATATATATATATATATATATATATATATATATATATATATATATATATATATATATATATATATACTATATATATACATATAGATCAGATTCATGTGGGTAATGTCACTGTTCACTGCCACGCAGGACAGAGGTTCGTACACAAAGAGTACATCATATTCATTGACAGTACATATAGGTCAGAGTCAGATTAGATTGCCCCGGAGAACTAGTTTATTGGGCACCCCATTACATCCTGTGCAAGGTGAAGCGCAGAAGCGTTTACAGCGCCCATCTGGGAAGCAAGCAGAGTTCATGCTTGCCTTTATGACTCGTGCATTAAGGGCGTAAAAGCCTGAAGGGTCATGGGTTTTGTTGTAAGTTACATAAAGTGACAGAATGATGAGTGTTGGTGGGAAATTTCGGTACAATTTATCTGTTTATGGCAAAGTGTGAGTCCCTAATAATGTCAAGTGCCAGGCCTTGGTGTGAACATACCTTTTAGTGTGATTGTGATGGCGTGTACGTCGGTAGTGTACGCTTCAAGGGGCGTCGAGAGGTTGGTAGGGACGCCCTTCTTGGCGTGAATACGTAGTCCACTAGCATGTCCGCATGGTGGTCAATTGATGTGGAGAACTGGTGGATGGGCCCAAGTGCCGGCATGCCGGTGGGGGCGGGGAGCAGGGTGGTGTCCTCGGGTCCATGAGCAGGCGTGGCTTGCGGTGGGTGGATGAGGGCAGCCGGGCACACGGGGCAGGTTCGGTAGCGTGGACGCCAGCAGTGATGCCAGGTGGAGGTGGGTAGGCCGTGAGCATGAGGGGCACACGGGGTTACCAGGTTGTGTCAAACCAGAAGAGGGTGACTGGGCAGCTGGAGCAGGGGTAGTCTGTGTAGGTTGGAGATGGCAGTACAGAGTGTATCAAAGAGTCTTTCAATACGGTTGATAAATTCGTGTAAGAGGGATATGATCTGTGTCGTGTCACCGGAGGGGTTGGAGAGGGGGGTTATGGGGGGCACAAGGTCTGACAGCGTCTGAGTAGAGACGGGGAAGAGGCCTAGTTGTAGTTGAATGAGGAGCCGGCCGGGACTGCTGTGTTGCAGGGGGAGGAGGCGGAGAAGAGTGTGAGGATAGAATAGAGCGAGGTTTAGGAAGGGGGCATAAAAGGAAGGGATGAAAGGGAGGAGACGAGAGGGAGGGAAGAGGGCAGAGACAAAAAGGGGAAAAGGTGGAGGAATAAGGATAAGAGGAGGTGGGGGTAGAGGAAGAGGGAAGGAAGATAAGGAAGATGGGGGAGGAGGAGATAGAAGAGGAAACAAAAATACAATGAAGAAAGAAACAAGGAAAGATAAGATAAAAAATGGTTAAGTTATTTCAGCAATTTCCTTTGTTTTGGTTCTCTTCTTCTATTTCTTTATACCAGACATGAAACAATGATTGTACATTTATTCACTAATCACAGTGTACATATATACAATCTGTTTACTGGTGTTTTGCATTTATTTATTATTCATTTCTTTATTTATTCATATCTTTTTAGGGTCTTAAGGGGCTTATATAGATATGTCACAATTGGAAAGGTCAATAAACACTGCCCTCTTCACTCTTAACAAACATACCGTACACTGGTGACACCTGTCGATCAGTCTGTCAATTATACTTCCCTCACACAGGAGTCAGTGTCACTAGGCTACAGAGCGGTTCCGTGATCATTGTTCCTCGCATTTTTATTATGGGATTAGCCCATCAGTGACCCACATCAGGGCTTGGGGGCGAAACTATAATAATAATAATAATAATAAATAAAAATTAATAAAAACATTAAAAAATATTAAATAGAAATATAATTAATATAATATAATTAATGCAATATACACTACAACAGTAAAGGACACTAAAAAATAAAAAGATCAATAGTGAGAAACGATAAAATTACGTACAGTATGTTATGTTGTCAAAGTGAGAGAAACAATTGAGACCTGCAATTGTGCGTAAATAAGGCAGAAAGTCAGATCAGCAACCTGGGACTTGGTCACAATTTTTATGAAGCCATATGACAGCAGAGTCTACCATTAGACAACACCAAATTTACACTATAAAACTGGACTTAACTATATACGCACGTTCACTGAAGACATAAATGTCGACATAAGTTAAAATTCTAGGTGTAATTTAATTGTTATTATTGGACTTTAGTTTTATACATTAGCTCAAGTCAATCAATCAAGTACATTCTCACAGCTTCATTTACGGGATCATTTGTTCCGTCGTAGAAACGCAAGAAGGCGGAGTGCTGTACTGTACTGTGTTGTACTGTCCTGTCCTGTACTGTATTGTACTGTCCTGTCCTGTACTGTATTGTACTGTCCTGTCCTGTACTGTATTGTACTGTCCTGTCCTGTACTGTATTGCACTGTCCTGTCCTGTCCTGTCCTGTACTGTATTGTACTGTCCTGTCCTGTACTGTATTGCACTGTCCTGTCCTGTACTGTACTGGGTCAATTGAAGTATCACACTGAACTGTTGTGGCAATTCATTTCTTACGAGTCAAAAACTAATCCTCAAATATTATTGGAAATGGTCATGTAACAACTACTAAGAGATAATTATTTCAGTAATTATGTGTTAGACTCATCTTATGAAATTTGAACTTTCTTCAAAAATATACTCCTGACTAAAATCACAATAAGATTTACCATCACCATCACTGCCTTAGCGAATCACTGTCTCACTAATTTGATATACTATAACTGAATGACTAACACTTTACCACCATCATCAATAATCCTCATTACCACAATCACTGTATCTACTGTGTCACTGAACCAAGTCATGTATCACCCGGCCAGAGGTTCGCCTGGCGGCATCACTCATTTGTAAGTCAGCCACGGCTTACAACCCCTTCATCTACTACTTCATGAGTGAGGGGTTCAGGGCAGACCTGCGGTGGCTGGGACGTCGCGTCGGCCTCATCAAACACCCCATCAACGGTAGCACCTTCCACCCCTCCTACAGGAGCTTCACCAGGAGTAAGTGATTCGTAAATGACTTAGGTGGGATGTGTCAGGTTACCTCAAGATTAGGTTACGGTTTGGCGCCGTTTGACAACATCCACAACTATACGTTCTAGGTACAGGGTAGATGTAGACAACTGGCTTGATTATACGTATATTTTCAGCGCGATTAATTGTTTTAGGTAACTAACAACTCTCGTGCTGACATTATGGACATTATGGTGCTAGATGTTTTATACAGACAGCATCTCGATCTCATCACAGTCATGCTTTGTCTGCTTATACCGCACGTGATTTACACTCTGATAGCCACCTCCCTTGGCATACATCTATTGTTGAAGAGTCCATAAATGTTCACAAACCCAACCTGAATACCTTCAGGAGGCAACATTAGGATAGTTAGTGTTGTGTACAGAGCTTTAGGAAACTTCCTATTATAATAGTACATGCAGTAAGACTTTTTCTTGTTAAGGCGGAATATGGCAAGATGTTGAACACTGAACCGCAGAGTCGTGAGACCAGGACCTAGATAACCCCACGTCTTTATGTAATATTATGAATAACTTATATGTACTGAACCACTACACATTATATTTCTTTGTTAGTCCTCAGCATACAGTATAACGTAAACTCAAATTTTTGGTGAAATCTCTTACTCATGGTGTTAAAAAACAGATATTTTACAATTTTACAATTTATCATCCTACTGCTAATCTGGCTGGCTTAAGAGTTGCTGTTTGTGGTTCGCGAGACATAAGATTAAGGCGAGGACCTCCTCCACAGGTAGCATCAAGAAGTCAAGGGACCGGACGAGGGAGAACTCCATGCAGACTAATGCTAGCCGCAAGGACTCCAACTCCACCTGTCTGACTTCACCCAACCTGGGGACGCCATCAACACCCCTCTCTCCCTTCACCAGCCCAGACACTGGTGATGACCCTCCTGTACACTTACTCTCCAATCCTATATCCATCTCCAGTAGCCCCAGGATAAGCAACAGCTGCCTCCGCCTCTCTAGTTCTAGTCTCCAACAAATGGAGTTCATAAAATCACAGTCACAAATTACCAGACAAAGAAAGACTGAGAAACCATTGTCAGCCACGGATTTTCTTACTGACAAGGAAATCCTTAAGAATTTTAACCCTAGACGAAGGATTGTGAACATGACTTGTGATGTAGATCCTTTGCAGTACCCCTGCAGGAGATCCGTGTCCTTCTCCATGACTCCAGAAGCATCATTACATGTTGTCCCCACTTCTCCAGATCCTACTGACAAAGTTGAAGAAAAACCCAAGAGGACTCTTCGATCACATTCCCTGTACGGCTCCAGGAGTGGCAAAATAATCAAGACTTACCCAAGAAGAAAGCCCTTAAGAGATTCTTTTATGAATACAAGAGTATAATTTTGTTTGTAGATGATAACGTGCATATCCTAATTCATATATTTTATTCTACTGTATGTTAACAAATCACTTGAGGTTGTCCACTGTCCAGTATCCTATTAGATTGTTTAATAAAACAATTATGACTGTTTAGTATCGTCAAAAATTTGGTTAGATTTTATAATGAATACAATAGATCAATATTTTCATATATGTGTAGATCTGTCTGTATAGATGCCTGCATGATTGTCAGTTGTATGTGGACCATTATACTGTAGTAAATGTTTCTTGTGCACAGTTTATATTTTATTCCTGCAATGACATGAGATGTTTGATGACCGAAACAAAGGTGAACTTGTTGAGGCGGAGGTATTGGCCATGTAAATCGTATTACAACTATAATTACTAAATCTATTTTTCTTCATAAGACAAAAACAAACTTAGATTATTCTAATCAACACTAATGTAATGATCTTAAAATCGGTTTTGAGTAGGTAAGATTGGATCTAATAACTAGATCCAATCTTACCTACTCAAAACCGATAAACAGCATAACTAACTTGATTCTAGTTAGTTTATGCAGTTTATCTTCAAGCAAAAAAACGAAATGGTTTAGCTGTCCTGTCCGTGGTAATTCTCCGACATCTACTGTTACCGCCAGACCACCGTTCGCCGCATTCGGCCCATTAGTTGTCTTACTGGAAGCAGGTAAGGAGTTGCTGTATCATTTCCATCGATTTTCTTCGTTCCTTAATATTAATTTTTGACTTCGTGTCGAAATTTTGAGTGAATTTATAATTTTACACCGTATTACAGAATGGATATAGAATCCTTGGAAAGAATTCAGAGGAGAATGACACGACAAATCTCGGGCATTAGGAACCTGAGTACAGAGACAGGTTAACGGTTAAAGCATCTTAATTTGCACTGCCTCGAGAGACGTAGAGTGAGGGGCGATATGATGAATAAATGGAAGTCAGGGCTGAACAAAGGGGACATTACCAAGGTAATCAAACTATCCAACCAGGAGCGAACTCGTAACAATGGTTTTGAATTAGACAAATTTAGATTTAGGCGCGAAATTGGTAAGCGTTGGTTTCAGATTCAGATTCAGATTTGCCCTCGAGGGGGCTAGTTTATTGGGCACCCCCTTACATCCTGTGCAAGGTGAAGCGCAGAAGCGTTTACAGCGCCCAACAGGGAAGTATGAAAAGTTCATACTTGCCTTTATGACTCGTACATTAAGGGCGTAAAAGCCTGAAGGGTCATAGGTTCTGTCAAGTTACATAAAGTGAGAGAATGATGAGTGTGTGGGGGGAAAGTTCCCGGTACATTTTATCTGTTTATGGCAAAGAGTGGCAGGTCCCTAATAATGTCAAATGCCAGGCCTGTGACTAGGAGGAGGGATATCTGGTCTGGGAGGGAAGAGGTGTTGGTAACGGCTGGGGACCTATAGGAGGAGGTCATAGGGCAAGTGAGGATGTAGTGAGAGAGGGTGTGAGAGTCGGGAAGCGTTGGTTTGGAAATAAAGTAGTGGACGAGTAGAACAAGTTACCAAATATCATCATTAACTCGAATACGCTGGATAGCATCAAATATAGGTTGGATGGATATATGAGCAATAGGGTTTGGGTGTAAATGGGACTGCCCAGTATGGGCCAATAGGCCCGCTGCAGTTTCCTCAATTCTTATGTTCTTTATTTCACTGTTATTAATGTGTATCTCGTAATGTTTACACAATTCTAAGACAATTTTCATCTATGATATTTCCACCCGAAATTAAGGATAACAGATATATTAATTTTCAAGATTATTACTTTCGCTCAGTCACAGGTGTCGCCATGATTTGTTTACTTATGGCGGAGGTGGTCTCGCTCCAGGCCTCCGTCTTCCCTCTTTAAGCGTCTAGAACGCATGTGCGCGGGGGTGGGGGGGGGGGCTTTTTTAATTGGCGATAGCAAAAGGAGTATTTTTATTGGGCAAGATTTTGTTTTGTTTTAGCCAATGAGGGAAGATTTGAAGTTTTAGTAGGAGATATGGCTGAACCGGTAGAAGAGCTGTGCAGAAATTGTGAGAAAGATTATTTTGCTACAATTGCCGATTTTTTTCATAAATCACGGTGCATTACCGAGTATAGTACTTTGTCCAAACTGTAATAACCAGTGTGCACTGCGTGAAGAACAACATATTTGGCAGTGTCACAATAGTTTTAGTCAGCCCAAAAGTAAAAAAAAAAACGGAAAAGGATGGCGAACTCGATGAACTTGGAATTCACTGGTGTCGTCAGGTGATCCTGTGTGGTCACATAGGTTAATGCACCTTGGAGCTGGTAGATCTCTTGGAGTTGATTGAGTATGGCAGGTCAAATGGTTGGCTGTACCAGTTGTAGCTGGTTCCACAAAAAATTACAACACTGTTTTTACAAACCACAGAAACACTTAGTTAAACAACTTGGGATGTCTAACGTATTTCTGTCAACTATGCCTTGGGCACAGAGTTGTACTGTAGCTGTATGGGTTGGTTGATCTTTGAGAAGGGGAAAAATGTACAGTCAGCGTCTCCACAACACTTCAACAGTTTTCACCACCGAAAATTTAAACATGATACCCGAGGCACCGACTCTATTCAGAGATAGTGAAGAAAACAAATTAAGTGAGATAGTAGTGACTAGTAACGATGTTAGTAAGCAAATAGACAAACTAAAGCCTAATAAGTCACCTGGTCCCGATGAGATATTTGCCAGAGTATTAAAGGAATGTAAGGAAGAGCTTAGTATGCCCTTAGCAAAGTTGTTTAACATGTCCTTAAAAACAGGTGTAGTACCAGAATCCTGGAGGATAGCGAATGTAATACCGATTTTCAAGAAGGGGGATAGATCACTATCCTCTAACTACCGCCCAATCAGTCTAACATCAATAGTAGGCAAATTACTGGAAGCAATCATTTCAAACTCTATTCGAAATCACCTGGAGAAGCACCGATTGATCAATGATTCCCAGCATGGCTTCACAAGCGACGTTCTGCCTAACTAATCTATTAACATTCTTTTCATCAGTTTTCGAATCAGTGGACGAGGGGCACAATTATGATGTGGTATATCTCGACTTTAGCAAAGCCTTCGACAGAGTCCCCACGAAAGACTAATTAGAAAGGTAGAAGCTCATGGCATCAAAGGTGACATCCTTAAATGGATTAGGGCGTGGTTACAGGACAGGAAACAGCAAGTGAGCATTAACGGCACTAAGTCCCATTGGAGCAACGTCACAAGTGGAGTTCCCCAAGGCTCAGTACTTGGACCATTATTGTTTATTATATACATAAACGACATAGATATCGGCATAGACAGCAACATAAGTAAATTTGCTGATGACACTAAAATAGGACGTGTTATCAAATCTGACGAGGACTCGGCAAAACTACAGGAAGATCTAAACAAATTTTTCCAATGGTCTGAAAAATGGCAGATGAAATTCAATGTCGACAAATGTAAAGTACTCAGTATAGGAGATGTAAACAGGGAAACCAGATACCAGATGAACAACGATGCCATAGAGAAATCCGACTGCGAGAGAGATTTAGGAGTAATGATAAGTAGGAACCTTAAGCCAAGTAAACAATGTGTTTTTGCTCGAAACAAGGCTAATAAAGTACTTGGGTTCATACAAAGGAGTGTTAGTTACAAGACTAGCGAGGTCATCCTAAAACTGTATCTTGCTCTTGTGAGACCACACCTGGATTACGCAGTTCAGTTCTGGTCACCGTATTACAGAATGGATATAGAATCCTTGGAAAGAATTCAGAGGAGAATGACAAGACTAATCCCGGGCATTAGGAACCTTGAATACAGAGACAGGTTAAAGCATCTTAATTTGCACTCCTCGAGAGACGTAGAGCGAGGGGCGACCAAATAGAGGTGTATAAGTGGAAGACAGGGCTAAACAAAGGGGACATTACAAAGGTACTCAAATTATCCAACCAGGAGCGAACTCGTAACAATGGTTTTAAATTAGACAAATTTAGATTTAGGCGTGAAATAGGTAAACACTGGTTTGGAAACAGAGTAGTGGATGAATGGAACAAGTTACCAAATATCATCATTAACTCGAATTCGCTGAATTGCTTCAAACATAGGTTGGATGCTCATATGAGCAATAGGGGTTGGGTGTAAACGGAACTGCCCAGTATGGGCCAATAGGCCCGCTGCAGTTTCCTCCATTCTTATGTTCTTATGTTCTTAACACTTGAGAGTTGGGGACGGTGGGGTGTCTAAGACGTTGAAGTCTTTGTAGTGATGGATACTCCACACGGCAGGTTAAGGGAATATACTGGATCACGTCCACTTGAGATGGGGACTCGGTCGTAGGTCTTTTCCTCGGTACAGGGTGTTGCCACTACAGTGAATATTGTTAATTCACTTATTAAATGTTATTGAGAAAATATTTTTTTGTATGTCGATCTGGGATGACATTTAAATATATCACTTGACATATTACGTTGCTCACGAGAATATATATGGTATATAGTCTCAGTCTGTTGCCTTGGAGAATGACACTTAGAAAATTTCACTGTTACTTGGGGTACAGTGACGTCGGTTCCTTGCACAGTGAGTTACACTGCTTCACTGGTTCAGTTAATGGATCTATATTTTTGCTGCTACCTTTATATATAAGCTTTGGGTAGAGTTCCCTTAACTTGGCTTATATATAAATATGCTGAGGGGTTAAGTTACAAACCCAAAATGGTCTCTTCTCCATTTATTGGTAAGACTATATTGGTCACAGTCTATTTGTAGATGCACCGTAATTAACACTGTAAGCTGTGAGTGTTAGTTAAGGGCGGGGGCTCAGCTTGACTGAGTTAGGTCACCCGTCCGATTCTCGTGTGACTTAAGTCAAGACTAGTGCCTGTGAGGGGACACTGAAGGAGATGCCGGGTTAAGCCTACAATCTCAAGGTCAGCCTACTGATAAAAGAATTTCCCCTCACGTGAACAGCACATGGCACCTCACAGCTTATGGAAAATTACAGTAGGGTGATTGGATTATATAAACTAAATGTATTAACCCAAATTTATATAATTGTTATTGCCATGAGACAGGGGCTAATACAAGTGATTATTAATGATCATTGGATTCATTAACCGATGAAGGTAAGATATGGGGTTGGTTGGTAATATTATGTTATTTATTCAGAAAAAAATCAAACTTTTTCCGTTATGATTGTTGGATAGGGTGATATCTAAAAAACACGTGATTTCCGGTGGAAATGAATATAAAATTCGTTCGAAGCTCATCAAAATACA